GGGTTAAGAGTGCAAAACAGGACAATCACACCTAGGAGATTTATGAGTACTAGCCAGGATGTATCCTGGTAAGAATGAGATAACATCAACCCCCCATCTCCCCTCTTTTAAATTATCTTCTTCAAAGACCATCTATCCAGAATCCCTTGATATACAGTAGCAAATCTTCACCTCAGGCTAAGTTTAAGAGTATAAAATGTCCACCAAATCTCAGGCACATTGGGTCTGGTTGGATTTTATAGTGACACTGTGTCACTGTGAATTCTGACTCAGATCCCAGCTCTTCCAGTCCTCCTTTTCCTTTCATACACGGTTGAGTTTATTCATCTTCATTCATCATTGGAGCAACCTCTCTCAAGCTAGTTATCACCCTTAGAAAGCCTTCCATTTAAAGCCTTGCACCAGCACACCCATTTAATCTTTATTTAGTGATGTCTAGATCTTCCACATGTCTTCTGGCCAGTGTGCCTTTCCCATGTAAACCTTCCTAGTGTTTCAAAGGTCATCGTGACCTCTGAAAAACATACCTGATCCTAGATATCAAATATGAAAACATGAAACCCCATAGTCAGCAAGAGGGGTGTAGGTATGCTAACACTCTTCTTCCCCTGTCCCCCTCCCCATCACTATTCCCAAGCAGAATGATTGCCTTTATGTTCTTATGTTCTTTTTTCTTTTTCTTTTCTTCTTCTTTTAAAAAAAACTTAACTCACAGTAGCAGAGCTCCACAATTGCATGAAAATGAAAATAAACCCTGAAAGACATGCTTGCTAAGATGTAGAGTTGGGAAGTGGGGTTAAAGTGGAGCCAGGAAGAGTGCACAATGGCAGCAGCAGCCCCAGTTGTGTGATGCAAAGATGTACAATGAGGGTTTACTCTGAAACTGGTATATTTCCATTTTTAGAAACTGATGCAATTGCTGCAAGCACAGAGTTAATGTGGTAATGTCCAAGGTCTTCTTGACATGAGTCCATCTAAGAACACTTAATCCAGCTGGGAAGCTGAGTGAGGCTAGGAGTCTTCAGCATTATAAGCTGAACAATAGCTCTGACCAGCATTGGAAACAATACCAATCCTGGTATATCTCTGCTTGAAGTCTCCTACTGCTGTTTATGGCTCCGGACTATTTAACAACTCTGTTGCTGCCTAACCCAGTGGATCTCTGACATTGATTTACAATGTGGGGCTTGACAAGTGGATTGTTCTCCACTTGTGCTTTTCACCCCTTCACCTTACAGCATTCCTGACCTCCTGATAACGGACTTGGCTTTCCTCAACCACGGTTCCCACACCCTTTCATCTGGCCAGCTCAACACTACTCTACTAAAATGGTACTTCATTCAGAGCAGGATATTACTGCACAGAAAGGTAAACAGACTAAAATCCATACCTTCCAGTATTTCACTGATGAAGATTGAGATATTTATGGCCATGCAACAGCAGGATGTGGTCAAGATGGCAGAAGATTGTTGAGGAAGAACACATAAGCTAGGAGAGGCTGTAGCAGTTTGCTTTTGCCTGAGCCTACTGGAAGGGCAAGATTCCACCTCTTCCTTTCTTCTCCACATACTGCTGAGTTGAGTGCAAACTACTTCTGCAGTTTGCAGCTACTGAAGTAAGTAGAAGACAACACAGGAAAGTGGGAGGATAAGAAAAAAACTGGAATGTTTTAAAAGCAATTTTAAAAGCAATTTTAAAATCAAGTGAAAAAGTGGGATGACTGAGGAATAATCAGGACAGTCCATGCCACATCGGGAGAGTTGAAAGGTATGATCTTGGGGTTTGTAGTTTAGTTAAGCACTAAAGGTCAGTGTCAGAGAATTCTAAATGGCTTTTCCCCAATCCAAATCCAAAAATTCCATATGGTCTCGACCTGGCAGTTGAAATGGAACCGTAGCATTGTAGTTGTGTAGTGTGAATGGAAACCCTGGGGGAAAACTTGGTAAAATTCCCCTTCTCATAAACAGGGTAAGAATGTTGAGATGCCCCCAAAGCTCAAATTGGGTCCAGGCTGTTTAATTCAGTCTAGACCCAATCTAGGGCTTCCACCCCTTGTCCCACATTTAAAGTACTTAGCTTTTGCTTTACGTTTTCCAGAAAACCCAGAACAAAATGCAGTGATAACAGGCATCTGCCTTCCCACTGCAAATGTTCCTGCTGAGTCTGTGGGCCCGAGTCGCTCTAAGGTCAGAGTAAAACTAGGCAAAGCTGGACACCTTGTTCTGACTTTAGAGCAATTTGCACTGGTGAGCCTCTCTAGTTAAGAGTTTAACAGTGTAAACCAAAACATAATCCATTTCTGTTCCTAAGGAACCAAAGAAAGGGAATCTGCTGAAATTCATTTGGACTGTCCTTGTCATATTAGGAGAGTTGGTGGGTATTGGAATCATCTTGGTGAATGATAACAGTGTAACACTCCCTTATGACAGTGTAAGGTACTTTGTGGGTTCAGTATACAGCAGGACTGATGGGACCAAAGAAAAAGCCCCCAGGCTGCCCCCAGAGTATTCTGACCTTGAATTCTTCATGAATCACCCCCATCAGCTACAGCAAAATGCGGTGATCCCATGTGCCTTCCCACGTGGTCCCTGTGAGCCCACTGGTGCAAGTTGCTCTAAAGTCAGGACAAGGTGCCCAACTTTGCCCAGTTTTGCTCTGACCTTAGAGCGAATTGGGCCCACAGACTCAGCGGGAACACTTGAAGTGGGAAGGCAGCTGACTGTTGTGAATGCATTTTGTTCTGGGTTTTCTGGAAAACGCAGAGGAAAAGCTAAGTCCTTTTTGTCCTTTAAATGTCGGACAAGGGATGGAAGCCCTAGATTGGGTCTAGACCCAGTTAAACAGCCTGGACCCAATGTGATGTTTGGGGGCTGTGTAGTGCAGTGAGCCCAGGGGGAATTTGGGGTATATACGTAAAGTAGACAAGCCCTATGTCACCAGTGAATGCCACTCTGCCTCCTGGGCAACTGGGGAAATGCAGGGCAGCTTTCTCTACTAATAGAGGCAACGTCCTATGCTGTCTCCCATCCCTGTGGTGCTGCTATTACTCACTCTGTCACCAAAACCCAGACCAGCATAGAAACAGCATCCTCCTTACTATTTTTCTGCAGGCGACTAAGTACCTTTTTATTCGAGAAGGCCTTTGAAAATTGATTTTTTAAAAAAGAGAAACTGTCTGAGCATAATGTCATGAACCCTGCGTCCCAAGCTGGGGAAAAGGTGGGATGTAAATACATAAAAAGAGTCAACGTGGTGTAGTGGTTGGAGCATTGGATTATGCCTCTGGAGACCAGAGTTTGAATCTTTGCTCAGGCACAGAAACCCACTGGGTAGCTCTGGGCAAGTCACATTCTCTCAGCTTCAGAGGAAGACAAAGGCAAACTGGCTCTGAACAAATCTTGCTATGATAGGATCACCGTAGGGTTGTCAAAATTTGGGAATTACTTGAAGGCACACAACAACAACAACAACAACAACAACAACAACAAGGCACAAATAAATAAATATAACAACAACAACAACAGGATCAGAGCCTGAGAAAGCAGTTCTTGGTTCAGAAAGACCTGCCACCATGCTTTATTTATAATCTTGATAAGAAAAATAAGGCATGCTGGGCATTTTTAAAAAAAATTGTATTCTCTTTCTGATTTTTCTTCTTGGATGATAAAGTCAAGGAAAAATATACTGTGTGATGTGAGAGCAAGATGTAAGAGTAGTTTGCTTCTAATGCCTCACAGCTGGTCGGCTACCTGAACACTAGATCAAAAATGAAATGTTCTGTACCAAAGAAGCTTTACCACATATGACCCCATGCAGAACTGGCCTGACTAGGGGTGATGTTATGAGGAGGGGGGATGGAGAATATTATTGCATTTATGCATAGGATCATTAGCAGCTGATGGAAAATGGAAATGACCCTCTGTATTGCCCAGACATCTAGTGAAGATTGTAGGCTATGAAACAGTTTAAAAATTAGCATTTAATAGGGCAAGGTATGTTGCCCAACTTACTAAAATGTTTTTCAATTCTGTAAATAATGTAAGTAAATTAACAAGGGACAGGGGCTGTAATGAATAAAACATAAGTACCTTTCCATTTACTCTGAGGCCCAGAGAATTTTAAAAAAATGAGAAAAGAATCAAAGTAACATTGTGGAACTTGAATTAAACAACAAAGGGTTGATTTGTGGTGGATAATTTCATACACAGCCAAGGCAGTGAAGGACTTTTAATCACACGATATTGCTTCACAAACTCTGAATTGGAAAATTAATCAAATATGCTTGATTATGCCTGTCTCCAAGTATCTCTCATGTGCTAAGCACGCAGTAAGTAGCAGTAGTCCAGTTTCCTGGTCTGTATCACCCCATTGTAGAAGCCAAGGCATTACAGATTTTTTTTCATGCTCCACTTCTACACACAAATGACACGCAGAGAGACAGAGAGTTTGTAAAGACTGCCTATGGGACCAACTCATTTAGGATTTTCTTTTGCTTCTGGTCCATTAGGAATCAGGAAAACATGTAAGTTAAGATTCATTTAAATGAGTTGCAAGGCAGAGGAACAGCATATATCCATACAAGGCTCATTGTGACCTAAGCCTAGTTTAAAGAGTCCTTAACCTAGCTGGATCTTATAAGAGTACAGTTCATTTTCTGAGCCATGGAATAGCAGATTTAAGAATTCCTACAATAAGATACCATTTCAGTAAACAATCCTCTGGTTAAGTATGGCAGCTAGAGGAACGGAATCCATTATTCCAGCAATCCATTATTCATTACATAGGTATGGCTGTTGCAGCTGAACTGAGTCCAAATTCAATGTTGGAATTGCCCAAACTTTTCAAAGACATATTAAATGAAATGAATTCTTTCCTTAATTCAGGTGACCTCATTCCACTTTCTATGGCTTTTCTCAATATTCTCCACCAATGGTACTATCTCCCATTCCCTTCCTTCCTCTACCTTGCTATTCTCGGCCTTCTATTTATAAACACATAGGGACAGCTTGTAGCTCAGTGGTGAAGCACATGCTGTGCATTCAGAAGGTCCCAGGTTCAATCCCTGGTGCTGCCAGTTAAAAGGAGTCAATAGGAGCTGATGTGAAAGACCATGATCCAAAAATTGATGCCAGTCAGAGTCATACTGTATGCCAGTCATAGTGGCTAGAAAAATAAATTGTAAGGCAGCTTCCCATTTTCCTCTTTATTTGCCTTCCTTCTTTAATGATTTAGGATTACATCAGGGATATCAAAAGTGATTAGAAACAGCTAAAGCCTCAATCCATGGCATGAAGGTATGTGATGGAGCCACCACCTTGTTGAAGCTCAGTAGATCTGTTCAGTGCCTAAATAGGAGACCACTTGTGATATTGTATGTAGACAAGGTGGTCTATAAATCTGTCTAATATTACAGAAATGAATGTACACTCACCCCTCCACATTTGTGGACTTGGAGTCAAGTGGGGCAAGGGACAAAATGGTGAGCGTGTAGCACTGCCATTGATATCAATAGGGCTTGGATATTTGCGATTTTCCCAGTTCACCCGGCGGGGGGGGGGGAGGTACAGAACTGATCCCCTGCAAAGAGGGCCAACTGTATTTATTATTTTTAGTTATTGAATTTATCTCCCATTTTTCTCTTTATACAAGATCTACGATGATTCTCTATCCAATGTTACACAAAAATGCATCAAGATAAAAACACAATTAAGGTTCTATGGTTCAGGTTTCATCACATCTATCACAGGCCATCTTTCCAAAAGACCTATCAAATCCTGGGACTTATGGGTGTATTGTAGACTACATATTTGGGACTAGACTCACATTTAAGCATACAGCTTGGGGAAGGAGTTACTTTAGGGAATGACAACTTCCCCAACCAGCAGTCACCATAGCCTCTGAGATTCTGGGAGATGTAGTAAAATAAGTGAATTTCCCAGGCTATGCTCTGGCAGTCATAGTAGGTATTTCAGACCTTTCTACATACATGTGTAACAATCTGGATAGATGGAAAATAAAATCCAGGAAATCTCAGTGCATTGTCCTCAATTGCTGGGGATGACATAAGCACCATGGAACATCCTCAGAAATGGCAGTAATTCTCCCACACCTACCCCCACATGCAGCAGACTCATCACAAATCATATTTCGCACTGACTGCCTCCACGAGACCCTTAGCACCAGAGGCTTTTTGAAAGAGAGTGCTGTACAGTCATTAAACCACCAACATCAATGTCTGCACTAGAAAATGAGGAAGAAAGTTTTCCTTCACTGCCACTACAGTCAGGACTGGCTGGATGCAGAGTGCAGCCTCCCTCCCAGCACAAATGTTCCACAATAAATCATTGCATTAAAAAGCACCAGAGGACCTGTCAGGCTTTCATTCCACTGAGAAACTTCTCAGGGACAACAGGATATCAAACTTTGCATACATATGCACACATCCTGTTCTGATAAGGTGGGTTGTCTCTCACCCACAAGATACTAGCATGCAAAAATATGGCATGGAGTGAGTCTACTTGTCCAGCAATGTCTGCCCTCCTGTCTAATCCCTTTGATCAGCTCCTTCATCATACAGGACTCGGCTGTGAGCAGGAAGCACAGTAAAAGATCTGCAGTACTTCTTGCAAAGGCAATCATGGTATACCCATTTTATAGCAAAGTTATCATTCCCACAGTAAACCACAGTGATGGACTCTCCTGTACACAAGTAAACTGTTCAGGTAAAGTGTGTTTGCTTGAAACTGCACATGTTTTCATGGGTTCCATCACAGGCATCTTTCTTCGTGTACGCAATTCTCATGTCTCTTTCTTTCTTTCTTTCTTTCTCTATCTCTCTCTTTTTCTTTTTTACAAATACAAGGGGCAAACATACTGGTAATTCACATCTAGTAGTAACCCAAAAGGTTGCCAAAATGTACCAAATGTCAATAATAATTTGATAATTTTAACTTTTCCCAGAATTTGGAACAGTGAACTTGTTTCAGTTTGGCTCCAAGGAAGATGTGTGACGAGGGTGGCAAAAACACACACTCTAGAATAGGGTTGCCAGGTCTCAGGGTGCCAGCTGAAGTCTCTGGGAATTGTTATGTCTCTTTGACATAGGTGACAATTTTTTTCAGATGAAAAGGCACCTATGGAGGGGGAAATTGATTATTATACATGTGGTGACTTTAAGACAGAGATGGACAACTGGACTCCCACAAGACTTGTGAAGGCTGTTCTCTCCACCACCACCATACCACTTCACAATTTTATATTCTACTTTTTTCTTTTATAAAATTTGAAATGCCTCCACACCATCTAGGGAAGTCTCTCATTCTCTAGATGGGAATAGTAGCAATTCCACCAAGTTTCTTAAATCTTTCTGAGCTGGTTCAGGCCAAGGAAAGGCCTTTTTCAAAGCAGGAGATAAACCATATTTACTCTGTTGTAAGTCACCTCCAGCCATTGCATTGTGTTGAAAGAAACTTTGCTGTTTGTTGGAACAGGATCACATTTTATTTTTGTTTGGCTTGCACTCACAATTTCCCCTCTCCTTATTTATTCTCCTTACTATTTGCTTCCCACTCTTCACACAGAGGAGGGACAAATCCCCAAATAGAGTAAGATTAGGGCATTTTATGAGAGTGTCTTGCCCTGCTATTGCCCCTGGAGGACTTTATTAATATCATTTACAGCTCCAGTAATAACTAAGCCACACTGTTCTTTATAGAAAAGGGTTGAGGAAGAGCCATTAGTCTAGGAGTGTTCCCGCACAGGCTTGGGATTTATTTTATTTTATTTTATTTTATTATTTTTTATTTTTTATTTATTTGTTTATTTATTTATTTATTTTTGATGGGCTACTTGCTGGCAAAGTACAGAGGAGCTATGTACACATCCTGCCTCCTGGCAGTAAAATCCAATTAAATTAGAGATCCCACTTCACCAAAAGGCCTAAGTCTAATGTGTGTAAAGTTTCCATTAAACAATGCTGTCTTCAGGAAACATACAGTATAGCTCCCTGCTGGCAGTTTAATGGGAAGAGAATTCAAGCAGGAACATTCTTGGTTTTCCCCATTAATGCCGTGCCTACATGCACAGTGTCTTCACAGTCATGAAAGATATTAGTGAGTCTGCAAACACAGTCCTCTTAAAAGCTGTGCATTACTCATGGAGAAATGATTCAAGTTCCACAGTTTAGAGCTACAAAGAAGCAACATCATGACAAAAATAGTGTGTTGGGCAAATGGGGTTGCCAAGTCAGGAGCACTTTAGATCCTAAGATTTCAGGGCCCAGGCCTGAGACAGTAATGTCACATAAGAGCCTGGTGATGTCATTAAATGTGACAAATTAAACATCAATCACAAAAAGGCATATTAGTGGCTTATATACACTGGGCCCTTGGTAGCTGCTGAGGTTTGGTTCCAGGATACACACACACACCCTGTGGATACCAAAGTCTATGGATGTTCAAATCCTATTAATTACAATGGCATAGTAAATTGGTGTTCCTTAAATACAATGGCAAAATTAAGTTTTGTTTTTTGGAATTTACATTTTTAAAAATATTTTCAAGCTGTGGATGGTTGAATCCATGGATAAAGAATCCATAGATATGGAGGGCTGATTGTATTCCATTTGTGCTTCATCTGTCACATTCCTTCATTTAGGAATCAAGAACTGAATAATAATAATAATAATAATAATAATAATAATAATAATAATAATAATAATAATAATAATAATAATAATAATTTATTTATAGCCCACCCCTCTGCTCGGCAATCAGGGCAGGTTACAGCATATTAAAACATACAAAGTTAAAAGCATTCCCTCATCCCACAATCTAACCCTCCCATTCCATTAAAACAAGGTTAAACTATTGAAGAATTAAAATACAATAATCCAATTTAAAACAATAAAAACAACAAAACAACAGGCAGCAATGGACAGTAGGGCAGGCAGCAGCAGGGGGAACAAAT